AATGTTCCAGCAGATGGATAGATGGAGAAAACAAAACAAAGCAATATTAATACGGTAAGACCAATGCTTATTGGTAGAGACCCTAGAGCCACGGAATAAGGGGACAGTATATTGTTGAAGTAAAAGGCAGAGAGGGCTTGTGAGCTAGCCATGGATTTGCCTTGTGGACTGGTTATACGCTGAGGGTCCGGCTCGTTGACATGCTTTATTCTCCTGAACAAGGAGACAATGCAGTGATAACACCTTGGCAAGTGCTTCAGGTTAACTGACCCAACCACGGTTCCTAAATGTTTTCTCTTAACCTGCTTCCATCATAATTACTAGGGACATAAATATTCACTCTCCTCCCGTGTAGCCTGAGCAACCACGTGACCTGGTCTAGCCAAGAAGATTTACACAAAAGTCTATCAGGGGTTTCCGGGGCAAATGGGGGCAGATCAAAGGCCAGTTCGCCCTTGGTCCTTCTTTCTCCCTTGAATACAGACACCACAGCTGGCTTCCAGCTTTTCCTGGGGCCAGTGAGTGGCAACGCTGGGCACACTTCCAAGTGGCAGTTATTCTCAGGAATGGGGTCTCAGCGGCTTCCTGTACTCCCAGCCGCGGGTCCCTGGGCGGTCTCCGACCTCCAGGCCACTTCTTGGCTTTGTTCCGCCTGCTGCCTCTTTGGTAGGAGTTGGGAACCATGGGTGTTGTGGGAGCTGGTGGGGCAGCAGCCCACCTAGGCCAGGGTCTCTGGAGGGTTCTGCCTCCCCCTCAACCAGGAGCATGGCAGCACTTCTTGGTGAAGAATGCTTGGTCTCTTAAGATGATTAAAGGATAAAAAAGAAGACTGCAAATCCACCCACTTGAGTAATCAGAATATTATTCTTACAAAGATCTAAAGTCTCATGGGAAGAATTTAAGGAGAAAAGAAATATCTCTCTCTGTTTTTTTTTTTTTCAGCCATGTACCAATGAATGTCTTCAAAGTGCTTTAAAAACAAAATTATCAGCTCTAACGAGGGGGTAATAACACCACCATGAGCGTCTGAGACAGGTTGTCCCTAAAACACTGTGAATGTGCTGGTTCCCTTACTCATGGCTTCGGCTCCAGGCAGGCATCATTTACTATACCGCCCCATATTCAGAGCAGCGGTGCATGGTGCAGGAGGCCTCATGCCCGGAGCCCAGCACAGGAACGAGCCTGCCCTCTGCCTGCATCTGGGCTTATCTTTAAAGCTCTCAGAGTAGGGAGATGGCACCTGTTCCTCTCGAGTTGGAATAACCTGAGGACCAGTTGACAATATGGGGTGGGCAGTAATGGCTCCCAGTAATAAAGTCATGTCACAAAAATGAAAATCACAACTGCATAGAACGAGGGAGAGCCGGGCTCCAACACAACCCCCTGAGTCAATGTTTTGGGCTGGCTTTCTCCTCTTGAAGGCGCTGGATGAAGGAGTAGATTTTATCCTAATGCCAAACTTCCTGTTGCTTAATAATGTTGACTTTTATGAACT